GATGATCTCCCGAGACGGTGGTTGGAATATACTATCAATCCACCGGCACCTGGTAGTTTAATTACTCTGTACGAGTGATCTGACAAGGACATTCTGCGAACACAAGCAAATCAGATAAAGTAGATTAATATAGACATGGGTGAATCATGGTGGTATATACAATTTGTTGAAGTGAGCTACGTTTCGTACCTCGTAAGATAGCCATGTTGGCAATGGATGTAGAGTGCGCTTTGCCAGTATACGGCATGATAGAGAGACGGATCATAGCGCCAATCCAACTGCATGTCGGCGACGATTCCGGCAGCTTCCCCTTCCCGAAGGAAGGTTGTCGTGTCCCATCGCTGAGTCACCAAAGAGAACACATCGACGAGGTATGACGCCGGAGGCCACTCCAATTCGAGCAACGGGTTGTCATCGTCATCGTCGGATTCTCTGTCGGATGGCAGTCGCCATGGCACGCGTGGGATCAGAAATACCTGGTAGTGCGGCGACACGGCGGGCTCGAACGCGAGGTGGGCGGTGTGGTCGAATCCTGGCACGAGCGGCGGGGGGCGTTTGGGCAAACGCGCCCACCGCCGGGTGGCCGGGTTGACGACGTACTCGCGCGGGCACGGCAGTGCACGGTAGCTCGACTCGCGGCAAAGCAAAAGGCCGTTGCAGTGGTCCTTGACCTTGACGCCCATGTCGCAGTGGTCCTTGACCTCGACGCCCATGCAAGGCAGGAAGTCGAACCCTCCGTCGATCGCCGGGCCCGTCGACGGGCGGGAGAAAAACTCCGAGAAGTACTGCCCCTTGAAGTTGATGAAGATGCCGCGCACCGAACGCGAAAGCAGGCTGGCGTGCAGGCGGTCGTCGACGGCGTCGCGCCACGCTGTGCAGACCCGCCGGGCCTTGGCCAGGACGTGCGGCGGGAGACGCCGGAGGACCTCGGCGAGGGCATCGTCGGGTAGCGTGGCCGGCTCCGATGCCATCGTCGATCGATCTCGGTTTGAAATCACACTCCTGGATCCAGATCTAGATTGGAATTGGGGGCTAGAGAACGAACAGAAGAAGCTGGGATTTGGGGCTCAGAGTGTATGAAGACAGTTCATACTCTCGCTGTCTCACGCTGTACATCACACATTCCTCTCCGGCTACTGTTTCACTTGTACTTATACATCGGCTGAGAGAAACCCACGCCCGATCGACCTGGTCACACCTAACACGGACGCACGCATGCGCATGTCAATTGACCATTTTTTAGTATGGCGAAATATATTTGGAACAGTTTGAAACCATGTGTTATAACACGTCATTATGTGGCTAACACAGTAATACAAACATTTAGCATACTCCCTTCATCCAAAAAGGTAATTTTATATTTGTCTAGATATAGATATATCTAGACACACTTTTGTCTAGATACGGATGACCATTCAAATTTTCTTAGCTAAGCTAGCTTGTCACACAAGTTTCCTTCTCCACTAAGCAAGCTTACCCTACAAGCAAATTTCACTATTAAAAAACCTTATCATGCAAGTTTGCTTCACTACTAAGGAAACTTGCGATGCAAGTTCCTTCCGCTCCAAGGTATCTTATAGATAAGTTTTCAGAGATGAAGTAACTTGGTGACCAAGGAGTGTAGCAAACTTATGAAGCAAAATTTCTGATGGACTAAGGAATGGATGGCTATATATTGCCTCCTTTTGGGAGAGTTTGATAAATAAATAAAAACACAAGGGTGTCGAGTAGCCACTTGATCTTGTACACAAATCCATCAAAGATTAATGACCAAGGGCTCCCAAGTTTCTCTCCCTACATCTTGTGTTCATTGTTTTGCTAATCATGATTGTGCAATGAGTTCTTCTATGTTATTGAATGTCGTGATTGGCAAGTGTGATCAAGCGACCCCGGCGTGAGCACCAAAGTTTCACAACTAGAACAAGGTGTGAACCTCAGATAATGTCGTGATTTTGGCTCATCTATTTTTTGTCTGCTTTTGATGCGGAAATTGAGAGCATTTATTAAATAAAGATGGTCATGAAGTCATCACCCATGAGGCTTGTGACCAAGAAGGAAGAGCTAAGTTAAGTCAACAGCTGCTAAACATGATGGGCTTTTATTCATGCCCGGTGTGCTGGAGGCTCTTTCAGGGGCTGTTGCTGCTAGGCTGGCTGCTCAGGAAACAACAAATGGTAATGTGGTGTTTACTTTTAATGCTGGGAAAAATTCGGTGCAGGGCAAGGAAAAGAGGAAGGGGGGGAAAGGAAAAAATGTGGGAGTGTTTGAGAGAGCAGAGAATGCACGTAAAGTAACTATAGGTAAAAAGAGGAGAATCCCATCTGATCCTAGACCAACAGGTAGTGAGTTAGATTTTTCTTTTGAGAAAGAGATGGAGAGCTATGAGCGCATCCTTTATGGTGATTTGAATGTGTCCTCCAAGTGAATTTGTACAGGGAGAGTGGTAACTGTGAAGGATGGGGATGGGGTACTCGCACATGTAGCTAAGGAGACAGAGGATGAGGAGGCGCATATGGAGCAGAGGAGGGAGTCAGTTGGAGATGACGGCGCATCGGCGGCCTCCGAGGCGGAGGTCCGCCGGGCCAAATGAAAATCCTAGGATGGAACTGCCGTGGTATGCTCTCCCCCACGGCAGTTCGAGAGCTCTTGGAGCTCCAAGGGCGTACTAAGGCGGATGTGATTTTTCTTTCAGAGTCTCATTTGAATAAATGTAAAGCCGATGAGCTGCATCGTGTTTTAAATTTTGATTCTATGTTTGTAGTGGAGAGCGATGGTCGGGCCGGTGGCCTTGTTTTGTTTTATCATAAGATAAATAAAGTTGTTTTGAATTATGTCTCGGATAATTTCATTGATATTTTGTTTATGAACGAGGATATTGTACAGTGGCGTTTTACAGGGTTTTATGGTCGTCCGAGCTGGAGTGAGCGTAGTTTGTCCTGGGATGATATTCGGAATTTACATTGTAAGGGCAAACACCCATGGGTAGTCTTGGGTGATTTTAAAGAAATTTTACTTTCTTCTGAAAAAGAGGGCGGTAACGCTAGACCTAACGCTATGATGAGAGATTTTCGTAATTGTTTGCAAGAGTGCGGTCTAGAGGATATGGGATGTATTGGCGATCTATTCACTTGGAGAAGAGGCGCAATTAGGGAGAGACTTGACCGTGCAGTTTGCAATGTGGATTGGGCGAATAAATTTCCTCGGGCTGCGATTATAAATGAAGAACACGTACACTCTGATCATCGACCCCTCATCCTGGATACAGATTACTTTGATGTGAATATGTTTAATCGCCCAAGGGGTCGAGTAAAACAATTTGAAGCTCGATGGCTCAAAGAAGAGACAGTTGTAGAAATTGTACGTACAGCATGGGATAAAGCAAAGATGATGGGTATTGGGCCGTCTCTCGCTGACCGTACAAGGGCGGTGCAGGCGGATCTGCATATTTGGGATCGCGATATTCTGAAGGGACCGAAAAAAAGAATTAACAAACTAAAAAAAGAACTAGAAAGGCTGCGGAGGGGACCTATTGGTGCGGAGTCTCAAGCGCGACAAAAGGAGATTCTTGTCCTCATTGAAAATTTGTTGGAACAAGAGGAGATTTACTGGCTACAACGTGGTCGCGCAAACTGGCTATTGCATGGGGATCATAACACCTCCTTTTTTCATAATGCGGCAACAGCCAGAAAGAAAAGAAATCAGATTAAAAAAAAATTGGATGATAATGGGCTATGGGTGCAAGGTACAGAGATGAAGAATCATATCATGGCATATTTCTCAAACCTCTTTAAATCAGAAGTTTCCCATCCTAACTCGGAGGTTCTATCTCTTGTCCAACGAAAAGTGACCGATGAAATGAATGATGCTCTTCTAGCCCCCTATACGGCCGAGGAGGTTCGAAAGGCCCTATTTGATATTGGTGATTTAAAAGCGCCAGGTCCTGATGGCCTCCATGCTATTTTTTACAAAAGATTTTGGTCTATGTTGGGAGATGACTTGACCGAAGAGGTTCTCCAAGCGGTAAATACCTGTTCTATACCAACTGGGTGGAATGATACTGCAATTATAATGATCCCAAAGATTAATTCTCCTGAAAAGGTAACCCAATTTAGACCAATCAGCTTGTGCAATGTGGTGTATAAGGTCATTTCAAAAATGATTGCTGCTCGTCTAAAGATAATCCTATCAGATATTATTAGCCCAACTCAGAGTGCCTTTGTGCCTGGAAGATTGATTACAGACAATATATTGGTGGCATATGAATGTTTCCATACAATAAAAAACAAAAGGGCGGGTAAAGAGGGTTTGTGTGCCATCAAATTAGATATGCACAAAGCATATGACCGAGTGGAGTGGTGTTTCTTAAAGGAAATTATGCTGAAATTGGGTTTCAAAGAGAGTTGGGTGAACTTAATTATGAAATGTGTATCCTCTGTGGAGTACCGGGTCCGTATTAATGATGATGAGACGGAGAGTTTTAAACCAACTAGAGGATTGAGGCAGGGAGATCCCCTTTCTCCCTATTTATTCTTGTTATGCACAGAGGGTTTGACCGCCCTGTTAGCTAATGCGGAGGAGAATGGAAACATTTCCGGTATAAAGGTTTGCTGAGATGCCCCATCAATTTCTAATCTCCTCTTTGCTGATGACTCTTTGATCCTTATGCGAGCCAATCCCATGAGCGCGGAGGCGTTGAAATCACTCTTGGATTCGTATTGTGCCGCCTCGGGGCAAATGGTTAGTGTTGAAAAATCTAGTATATTCTTTAGTCCCAATACTAAAGTGGAAGACAAGGCACAAATATGTACAATTCTAAATATTATGACCGAAGCCCTCAATGACAAATACTTGGGTTTGCCGGCAAATGTGGGCATGGACAAAAGTGACTGTTTCCGGTTCCTGATCGATCGAATTATTATGAAAATTAGTGGATGGAAGGAAAAATTGTTATCCTCTGGAGGGAAGGAAATTATGCTCAAATCTGTTGTACAAGCCATCCCCACCTATGCCATGTCCGTCTTTAAAATTCCTAAAAAAATCTGCAAAGGAATTATTGATGCGATGTCGCAATTTTGGTGGGGTGACGAGGACAACCAGAAGAGGATGCATTGGATGGCATGGTGGAAAATGTGTGTTCCAAAAGATCAAGGAGGTATGGGCTTCCGAGATATACACTGTTTCAACCTGGCTCTATTAGCTAAACAAGTGTGGCGTCTTCTTGATAATCCTGAATCTTTATGTGCAACCATATTGAGAGTTAAATATTTCCCTGAGGGAGATTTGATGAACGCAAGGTTAAAGAAGGAATCTCCGTTTACTTGGCAGAGCATTATGGCGGGAGTGAACTCTTTGAGAAATGGTTATATCTGGCGAGTTGGAAATGGACAAAACATTGATATTTGGAGAGATGCATGGATTCCGAATTATGCGAGTAGGAAAATTATTACTCCTAGAGGTGGGCAACTTCTGTCAAAGGTGGCTGATCTTATTGATCCAACCACAAATTCTTGGGATGAAGATTTGGTGAGACAAACTTTGTGGCCAATTGATGTGCAAAGGGTCCTCGCGATTCCCCTTACTATGCATAACATGTCGGATTTCATTGCCTGGAGCTATACAAAAAATGGTGTATTCACTGTTCGATTAGCTTATTCGGAGGAATGGAACCAACAACACGGGAGGAAATTGCAATATACTAATGCTATGGGTCCTACCAATGTCAATCCTATTTGGGGAAAGATTTGGAAATTATCGTGTCCGGCAAAGGTAAAAATATTTATCTGGCGAACGTTGCATGGAACTCTACCGTGTCGTGTTACACTTACCAATAGACATATGAAAGTTTCGCCCCTTTGTCCATCATGCTCAAATGGGCAAGAAGATACAAAACACCTCTTGTTTTTGTGTGAGAAGGCAAAAGAGGTTTGGGGTAAGCTGGGGATGTACGAGGTAATTAAGAAAGCTTGTGTTA